GGGTTTTAGCTCCCTCTCCACCCCAGATCCCCCTGCTGGAAAGCTTCTGACGGCCTCCCGTTGCTTACAGGGCAAGACAGGCACCTTTGGCCTGGTTTCCAAGGCCCCTCAGAGTCCAGCTTTAGTTGACCTTTTACAGCGCATGCTCCCTGCTCCCTTACCCCCACTTGGCTCCATTTTTATTTAACCAATATGTCACTTTCTAAATGCCAGGCACTAAGTGCTTCACAAACTTTAATTTTTTATACATGCAACACAATTTTTATTAGTTTCAGGTATACAGCATTGTGGTTAGACAATTGTATACTTTACAAAGTGGTCCTCCCAATATGTCAAGTACCCACCTAGTACCATACATAGAATTTTCACTTGTTTAATCATCATAGGAGTCCCTTGAAATAAGTACTGTGTTTCTCACAGTCTCCATTGAAAGATAAGGACATTGAGACACAGAGCGGTAAAGAACTTGCCTATGTCCCCACAACTGCTGAGTGGTGTGGCTGGGGTTTGAACCCAGGCAGCCTGGCTCCTGGTCCTTGCACTCTACTGCTGCTGTGTTGCCCTCCGGTCTGTTCTGGGCACTGGCCTACTCCTTCCTTTTTTAGGTATAATTCAACAGCCATACCCACTTCCATGAAGGCTTCCATGAAGCCTCTGAGGTTGAATGAATTCTTCTTGTCTGTGTTCCCACAATGCCTTGCACACCCCTTCCCAAGGGTAATGCTGTCCTGTTGGTGTACTGACTCCTCTCCTGGATGCTGAGCACCTGGGGCGGAGCGGGCAGGCTGTGTCTCACCCTCTGTGCTACTCTGTGCCCAGCCCAGCCTTCCGTGTCATCCATTTTTCATGGAGCGACCAAAGGCATCTTCTAAAAACAGAACCAGTTTTTGTCACTCCTTGGCTTAAAACCATCCAGTGATAATCCACTCAACTCAGAATAAAGTCATGGCTGTGCCTAGAAGACGCTGCACGGTTTGGTCCCTGCCTCCTCCCTGCCCTCATCTGTTGCCACTCTCCCTCTCGCTCACTCTGCTCCAGCCACAGTGGCCTCATGCCAGTCCCCAAACAGTCCAGGCTCACCTGGGGCCGCTGCCAGCATTATTTCCTCTGCCTGGATGTTCTGCCCCACATCCTCACATGACTGACTTCTTGTCACTCAAGCCTCCATTTCAGACAGACTTTCCTTATCTGCCCGTATGCTTAAATGTTCTCATATTTACTTTTAAAATTGTTATTAAGGACTTGTGTCTACTGCAAGTCTGTAAGCCCCACGGGGGCAGGGATCTGGGGTATCTTATTCAGCACCTGGAACAGTGCCTGACACAGAATAGCTACTCAATGAGTTAGTGTTGGGGGAAGAGATGTTCACCAATGTCCCTTTGGGATCGGACCTATTACTATGCTATTTGGCCCAGATTATAATATAATATAATATTAAATTGGTCTCATCTCAGGCTAAAAGATGGGATAAATTCACAAGCTGAAATTCGCTGTCTTTATCACTTTCTTGCCTACAATCATATTCCCAGAAGTAAGGCAATTTTATTGACCATTCTCTGCTGACTTCCTACCACCAGGGATACTTACAACTCTTTACATGGGTTTTAATTTGTCCACATAAGACCGAAGGAAACTTGTATGCTACTGCCTTCCCATTTTGCAAGCAGAAACATCCTTTAAAAGTGAAAATGCTGACCTGCAAAGTGTCTAGAGAACACACACCCACCACAGCCGACACATTTCATCAATAGCAGGAGACACTTCAGGTTCCAGAAAGGTACAAAGCTCCGAGGTCTGCCAGGGCATAGGCCTGGTCAAAGGACACGTACGAATGACTCATGGACATAGACAACGGAGAGGGGATTGGCTATGGGCGAGAGGCATGGGCTGGGTGGAGGGGGGCAAAAAGGAAAAAGAAACTGAGACAACTATAATAGAATAAACAATGAAAAACAAAACACCTCCAAGTAGGGGTCTGTGGCAGAGGCACAGGCAGCCAAATTTAGGGCACATGGGCAAAAGAGGGAGGCATCCCATGCGTCCGATTGTGGCGAGCAGGATGGGCAAAACTCCACAGACGCGAGGTCTGGGTGTCTGACTGCGGAGCCTCTGCTCATGAGAACCAAGGGGCCAGCCAGGCGGTCTGCTGAGTGGCCGGAATGCAGGTACCACCACCGTCGACTCTCCTCGAAAGCACATGGAAGGGAAGTGTGTTAAGGTGTCTCCAAGGCAGCTGCCATGCAGGTCATCCTCTGGAGAACCAGGAAGGACATTTCTCGTCCTCCCTCCCCCTCTTCCTTCCAGGGAAGGCTACAGCATCCTACCTTTATAGGCTGAGAAACTCTAAAGTCTAATCTTCCGGGGAAAATGGGAACTGAAAAGAACTCTAGATTATGAGTTCAAAGGTCTGGGTTCTGGTCTTAGCACTGTGAGGCTTTGGGTAAATTTCTTTCCATTTCTGACATTCGTCTCCTCATTTGTAAAATGTGCCTGTTGGGTTTGGTGATTTCCAAATCAACGACTTCCACGACTTCAGGCCTTCTATGTTTATGAGCTTGCTGCTCAGATTACTTTGAAAGGAAAGCTCTCACTTTTTCTTTTCCTTCATGGGGCTCAATTTGTTTTCTGGTCAGCCTGGTAGATAGTCATTGGTCTCTGGCCACAGCGTAGGTAGGAGGGAGAAACAATTCTGGCTTGGTTAGACCTGTTGAGGGTTGATGTGCCCCTTGTGTTTTTCTGATATAGGTTCTCTAATGCACATGGTTCATCACCATAGTGGGGCCTGTCTCGAAACTTTCTGCCAAGAACAGGAATGTTCAGAACAGATCGAGGAAGGAGAGTCATGATTTGAGTTAGTGGAACAACGTTTGAATGGCAGACGTTGTTATTGATGTTAAAAATCCCTCTGCGCCGAATGATATGATGTCTTGAGTTTGCTTCAAAATAAGTCTGTGTGTGTATGCGTGTGTGTGAGATCAGAATGGGTGTGGGTAGAGATGGAGCAAAATTAGCCAATTGTTGGAGCTCAGTGAAGGCTACGTGGGGGTTTCCTACACTATTCTTTCTGTTTTAAATACTATGTTGGAAATAGTTCATCACAAAAGGCCCTTTGGAGACCGGCTCCAGCCCTTCTCCTGGCTCTCATTTCACAGTCCCCAACTCAAGGCCCCTCTGGCACAGTGACATCACCCCAGTGGCTGTGATTTCACACCTTTCGGCCTTTCCACGCAGATCCATCTGTGCAAGGTACTCTGCCCCCTCTTTCCTCGCAGTGCACCTCTCCTGCGTGGGAGATCCCACAGCCTGGTACGCTCGATTAAAGCACTTACCACTTCATAGCGCACCTGTTTCGTTTTCCGCTCCCTGGGCCGCTCTGCGCCCTGCTCAGGACACTTCTCTGTCTCCCGAGTGCCCAGCCAGTGCCTACGACATAACCGGGCTTCTGCGCTTGTTTACAAAGAGAATCGCACTAGGTAGCTACCGGTTTTTTGTTTTTTGTTTTTGGAACACTTACTATGTACTAGGCACCACCCCAATCTCATTATACAGGTTTTTAAAGTCCTCACAAATGGATGCTGTTACCCTGTCTTTTCAGAAGGTCGCTTGCCCAAGGTCATGTGCCAGTGACAGATCTGAGATTTGGACTCAGAATGGAAGCTACTCAGCTCTTTTCCCTCCATCTGGGATTTTAAAAGACGTCTCTGTGAATGTTAGACACGGGCTCAGGGTTTTGGGAGCCTGGGTTTTAGGCGCTGTTCTGCTACTAAATTGCTGCATGACCTTGGGCAAATCACTTCTGTCCTGCAGGCTGGGTCTGCCAGTGAGACTATCCGTAAGAGCTGTTCACGTGATCCAAGGATCCTCCAGCTCCAACTCCCAGGGAAGAGGTTTCCACCCCCGCGTTTGGTTTTCTGCCGCTGAACTGGCTTTTGTGTCTGGGCACCTCTCAGCTTCTCATGCTCTTTCTGCCTCCTTTCTTGCTAATTGCAACCTTCCAGAGCCAAGCCTGTGCAGTCTGCTGCCCGCTCCCCACACCCCCTTCCTTCCTTGTGGCTTCACTCAGGAGGAAGGGGAGGAACCCTGGGCAGGAGGGAGGGGGGAGCATGGAGCTGCCCCATTTGTGCGGCTTCCCCGTGGCTTCTCGGCGCCCTCCCCCACGGAAACTCAGCCTCGCACTTTCTAGGGATGTTCGGAGGACAGCCCGAGGCCGTGCTTGCAGCCGCCAGCCTGGGGCACCTGTGTTAGGTTCTCACTCGCAAAGTCCTGAGCTGGAGTGGAGGTGGGGGACGTGGAGGGAAGGCGGCCGTGCACCCTCCCTTTTAGCTTAGGTCCGGCAGGCCCAGCCGGAGCTCGGGACCCTCCGTGCCTCCCTGCCTCTGCGGCTTCCCGCTGGGACCCGCCATTGCACAGCCAGGCCTCCGCGAACTGCAGACCAGAGCGCGATGGCGACTAGGCCCCCTTCGCCAGCTCGCCCCTGACACTGCTCTGGGGAAAGCCGAAACCCCCCAAGCGGTGCACCCCTGCCCCCCACCTCCCCAACAGCGCGCGGGAGGCCCCAGCCCCTTGGCTTTGTTTGCGGCCGGCAGGAAGCGGGCGGCTGGCCAGGACTGTCCGCCGCGGCGGTGCTGACGTGCAGCGCGGAGCCCGCGGGGCGCGGGACTGTCCTGGGCGGCCGTGGCGCTGAACACGGACCGAACGAGGAGCGGAACCGCTGGGCGGCCGCTGTCTGCCGTGCAGGGCTGGCCCTGCGTGGCCCAGGAGCTGCCCCCGAGGTTGTGCTGGAGCGAGGAGAAGCCCGTGGCGCCCTCCGCGCCTCGCCCCGGAAGAGCCAGCCGCGCTGAGAGCTGCCGGGAGCAGGAGGGAGGGCCCGAGGAAGCCGCCCTCGGGGGGCTCCGCAGCGCGGCGGCGGCCCGGGCCTGTGGCCAGGGTCTCTCTGGCGAGCCTGCCCCAGCGCGGAGGTGGCGGCTCAGCAGCAGAGCGCGAGCGCGCGGTCTACGAACCTGTTGGCGGCTGCCGTTCCTCCGAGGCCGACCTGGGCGCCTGGGACCGGACCGAGATGCTGGCGAGCCTCCCCTTCCCTCTTTCTGGACTCCTCCGCGGAGGCGCTTGCTCCTGCCGGGGCTAGCACATGTGCATGCGGGGGGCACCGGACCCCTCTTCCTTCCGCCGTAATGTCAGCCGAGCTGCAGGGCACGGAGCCGAGAGGCTTCCCCAAGGGCAGACCCGCTCCGGGGAGACCCAGGCTTCCCGAGAAAGGAGGCGGGGGCTGGCGGCAGGGAGGAGAGAGGGCGCCAGCAGAGGTGTCTGTGAAACCAAGGGGGAGGCATGGGGGACTTCCCCATAGCGTCAGTTGTGCCCTGAAGTTTGGGGACTTAGGGTCCTGTTAGGGGACAAAGCGCATCTTGCCTTGGAAATATCTCTCCCTCCCTCTCCATTTTTGTGGCTAATAACCAAATGCAGATCTTGGACCTGCTTTGTTGTAAACTTGACTCACTCGTCTCCCTGCCTCCAGTACCTTATTCCTAACCCTCATCTACCATGCCCTAGAGAGAGCTTTATAACTCATATATAATGTATATAAGTGACCTGACCGCTCGTTCGGAACAGGTTCACCCCAGTGCCTTAGCACCTGCTGCTCCTTTTGGCTGGCATGTTCTTCCAGCCTTACTGTTTATGCTTCATCTTTAAGTGTCCTCACTCGAATGGAAATTTTTCTGATTCCTAAGGTATGATCACCCCTTCCTCTAAGCTTCCTCTACTTTGCATTCCTCTGCTAGACTTCTAACCTTACACTGCATTATAATTACTCATGCATAGATATTCTCTGTTACCAGGCTCATAAAAGCTGTTGCATATTTTACTTGTCTCTGTATCTCCATCTCCTAGTGCGGTGACTGGCAGACAATAGATGTTGAATTACATCTGCTGAACAGATGTACACGTGAGAAGCAGAGGTCAAAGTAACGTTCTCTCTTTCATGTGATTGTTCATTTTATTTCTGCATGCACTTTAAATCACAGCCTGTGAGACCCCACACGACTGATGCCTGCCTAACCCCCTGCCTCATCTCCACGGCTCTCCTGAGTCGGCAGTTTCACCTACAGTGACCTCCATTTTGTACCAAACTGCTTTTTAAAAATTAAAAAAATATTTTTTGCTCTTTTCTTTATGTAGGACTGCTATAACCTTGACCTTTACTGGCTGTATCCTTGTCCTTTGAATTTTGGTTCAAATGTTACCTCCTAAAGAGGCCTTCTGGGGCCACTCTAATATTTGCACCCCCAATTTGCCTATGCCATTTTTCTTCATTATTATTATTCTTCGGAATGTTTTAGTTACACATTTAGTTGTTCATCATGGGATTTCCCTCAACCAGATTGGAACGCTCCCGGGGGACTTTCGTGTCTGCCTTGCTCACTGCCGTGTTCTCAGCGGTCAGACTCTGAGATAAGCTTGCCTCCCACCAGTGCATCCCTGATCCCTTTCTCTCTGGAAAGGCCTGAGCCATTGTGCCAGTCACTATGGAATCTTCGGTGAGGTATAAGTCAACGAGGAATGTTTAAAGAAAGGGTCCCATGGGTGTTCCATGGGATAGGGAAGAAGAACAAGTGGAAGGCCGCGAACCTGAGGCTGCGAGACGCCAGGCCTGAGTCACGGCCCCTTCTCACCCTGCATTGCAAAACCACAGCAACAGCTTCCTTCACACTGTATGAAGCACGTCCACACCCACAGCCTCATTTGATACTCATGGCAGCCTTCTCTGGTAGGTCTTATTCTCTCCAACATTGAAAACATCTGAGGCTAAGAGAGGCCAACTGACTTGACCGAGGCCACACAGCTTGGAGAGATGCTGCTCTTCCTGGTGCTGTGCTATCGACTGGGGAATCTAGAATTAAGACATGGCTCCTGCCTGCCAGGATTTCCCATTAGTGAGAGATGCAGCCACAGAGACAATGCATCACAATACAACTGGATGAATGCTCAGCAGTGATTCTCAACCTGGGGGCGGGGAGGGTGAGCAGAAGTGAATAGGCTGCCAGGGTCAGAATGAACTAAAATTCACTTCAGCGATAATTATAATTTGTTCATTGTTTCCCAGATGTCATACTGTACCAAGTTTTTACAAATTGTGTCTCCTCCAATCATCCCTGCCCATTTCCATCCTCATTTTACCGTTAACAGAACCCTAGGGAGGTTTGGTAACTTGGTCAAGGTTCTGAGGCTGATAAATAGCTGAGCTGGGACTTAGAACCTGAGTTTGCTTGACTCAAAGCCTGAGATCTTAACCATGAGGCACCCAGAACTCCTTACTCTGAGGCTCTGGTAAGCAGGGAGGGGACTGGGATTTGAAGATGATCCTTAGATCATCCTATTGTATTTTAACCCCTGTTGAGAAACACCCACGTTGGGAGTGCTGCGAGTGGCGCGGAAGGAAGAATGAGCGCCGCAGACAGTTGAAATCAGATCTTGAAGGATGAAGTGGGTGTTTCCAGGCAGACAGGTGGAGAGCACTTCAGACAGAGAAAACAAAACCGTATTCAAGCACCTGGGGTCCTGGAAACGAAGGGGCTGTTAGTGGTTTGGTGTGGATGGGGCGTAAGGCTGATGTAAGGGGCAGGGCATGGGAAATGCGGGAATTCAGTTTAGACTTGGCCATATGCCGTTATTCTGCGGGCGGTGGGAGAGTCACTGAAAGGCAACAACAGCCCTGCATTAAAAACTGCCACTGTCCCTTGGTCAGCGCACAGCAGCAACATGGGGTCATCATTTACAATTTGCAAAGTACTTTCTACTGGCAGAACTATCAATACGGAGTGAAGTAGACCCGAAGCTTCATGAGGGCGCCATGCCTGTGGGCTGGTTCCAGCCGAGAACCCAGAACAGTGTAGGCACTCAGTGTTCGTTGGAGAGGGAGACATTGGGAGAGTCCAGTTTAGAGGCTGCTGCAGGAACTCAAGAGAGACGTGATGAGAAGCCTCACTTAATCAGAGTTCTTTGAACCGCTGACTCCAGAAAGTGAAAACCTATGGTCTTCTACCTCTGAGCACCCCGGGGAGACTGGAATTTAGCTGTCCAAAACAGTTGCTGAATAATTATCACAATTTACCTTTTCAACATGCAGAAAACCATATTGTCACCCAGACAGCCAGCACCTCGCCAAACCAGGATTTCTTCTGTTGTATGCACTTTATGTCTTTTGGCTTCTGGATTTTGGTCCTGATGGTCTCTATTATGTGGCAGTAGCATATGCCATCGTTGGTTTCATTGTTTTAAAGGGCAATCACTATGCTAATGAAACTCAGGCTTGGCTCAAGAACTAAAATCTACCTTCTGTTTCTCCACCGCCTGTGGGAAAGTCCTCATGGACCTGTAATGGCCAACTTACAGACGGCCCGCTTGTACCTGGTGTCGGGCCCCTTTGAAACCGGTGACACACATTAGCCCTGTGGAGGTGGGTCTGACTCTTATCCCCACTTTACAGATGAGGAAAAAAGTCAAGAGACCCGCCTTGCAGGCTTCAAATCTGGCTGCTTGATTGCAGCCCGCAGGCTCCAATGCCACGGCTGACTGCCTCTCAGAGGAAACCTTTCCATTCATTTCCCACCCAGACCTAGGGAAGCCTGGACAAATACTTTTGCCTCTGAGAGTTTCAGCTTCCTCTCTGTAAAGTGAGAATAAAAAATAGCTAACGAGGAAGGCGGTTAGGGGAAATAAATGAGGCAACCTACGACTGCCTCTGAACAGTGCGTGTTCCTTTTCTGGTCCTCCTCACCGGCCCAGGTGCTCGGGTCACAAACCCACGGGCCACTGCTGAATCCGTCCCTGCTCTCAGCAGCCAGTCCTCCAGCAAGTCCGTTAAGGCCCTGGACCAGAACACGTCCGCAACGTCTCCTCGTGTCTTTTGCCACCACATCTCTTCTTGCCTGGGCCGTCATGACCTCCTGCCCAGGTTTCTGTAACAGCTTCTCGACGGGTCTCTCTGGTTCCACTCTTGCTTCCCAAAGTGATTTTTAAAATATGTATCCCATACAGAAAAGAGCACAAATTACGTGAACAGTTCAATCGTCACAAAGTGCAGCCGGCACCCAGATGGTGAAAGGGAAGACGATGAGTCTCTATCATGGCACCCCGTCGGAGTAACCAAAGTCCGTGGTGACTTCTGACGCTATAGATTAGTGCTGCCGACTTATGACATCACACAGCATGTATTCTTTTGTGTTTGGCTTCTTTTGCTCAGTGTCATGTTTGCAAGATTCATTGATTTTGTTGCCTGAGTCAGCAGTGTTTTACTTTTCATTGCTGTGTAGCATTCCACGATATGACTATTTCTGAATTTGTTGATGGGTTCTTGGGTTGTTTCCAAACTCTGTGTAGTTCTTTTGATACGTATATGTAAGGGGTTTTATTGGTTATATTCCCAGGAGTGAAATAAATGGGTAAGGTGTGCATATATTCAGCTTTAGTAGATACTTCTAAAATATACGGGTACCAATTTACACTCCTGTACGGTGTGTATGGGAGTGCTAGTTGCTCCATATCCTCACCAACATTTGGTATTATCAATATGTTTTTGATTTTAGCCATTCTCTGTATGTAGGGAATATGTAGTGGTTTTAATTTGATTTACCTGATGACTAATGAAGTACTTTTCCACACGTGTAAAGACTACTGGGAAAGCTGCTTTTGTGAATTGTTTGTTCACGTTTTTGTCAATTTTCCTATTGTGACATCTGCCATTTTCTTAATGACTTGTACGAATTATTTCTGTATTCTGGGTAGGACTATTTTGAGGCTATAGATACAGCTTTAGAATATATATGTTCCATAAAATAAATGTAGGATATATGCAGAATGAACATATATATATAAAATATTCTCCTAGTTTGTGGCTTGTCCCTTTCTACTATTGATGGTGTCTTGATAAACAAAAGTTGCTATTTTAATTGAATTTATCAATTTTTCATTATGTTTAGTGCTTTTTTGTGTTCTGTTTAAGAAATTTTTGTCTACCCAACATCCTGAATACATTCTCCTTGTTATCTTTTAGAGTCTGTATTGTTTTACCTTTTATATTGATATTTACAATCCACACAGAATTGACTTTTGTGTATAGTATGAAGTAGGGATTAGAATTTCTGTATCTGACCATATGGCTGCCCTATTGACAGAGCACCATTTATTGGCAGAAAGACCATTTTCCCTGCACTGTTGTGCATGCTATATTTGCCATGAATCAGGTGTCCTTATTGGGCCCAGTGGGGCTTTA